TTCGTATCGAGAAAACTTCAAGTTGTTGTCGACTTCTAGGCTTGAATCTTCAACTTGCTTTTGGTGTTAGGTTGGTATAAGTGATCATTGGGAAGAGTTGATTGTTACAAAAATGATAATGATGATATATTAAGATTATGAGTTGTATTAATAAAGTTAATAGTATTATTATAATTATTATATATAGTTAATTTTTCTATAGTTATCTTCTTTATAGTATAAATTTTTTAATAAAATAACTACTTTGAGGTCTGGTATAGTTTATTAAACTTTAAATTAAATACTAATACAATTATAGAAACTATATCTAATTTTGTTATATCAATAAAAATATAATTAGTTATATATGATAATGTGACAACTTAGTAAAGTTAGTAAGTTGTCACACTCTAAGTGACAGATCAAAAGTTTGAACTTTACTGGTGATAAAAATTCAAATTTAACAAATACATTTAGAAGACTATATCTTATTAAGTCAGTACCTATAATAGAGTCATATTAGCTTGTATTGGAAGACAGTAAAATAATAGTGTGATGTATAAATTATATAAAATCTGAGTAAAATTATAAGTAAAACCAGCAGATTAAAATATCAAAGCCTGCTTAGCAAGACCTGAATAAAGAGATAAAACAGATTTTGACAGTACTATATAAAGAATTATTATCTAGAAAATTGGAAAAACTAAATAGAGCCAAAGTGTTTGGCAAGACACTCTACTAATTAGGCTATCAAAGAAGTAACCAGAGAAAAAAAACCTAATCATAAGAATTAAAAACAGGTTATAGCTCTTTTAAATCATCTGGATTAGAAGTTTTAGATAGCTAGAGAATATGGTTAATAGTCTATAAAGTATATACTAAGATTTGGGTAAACTTTATAAAGGCAGAAATAGATAATAATAACAGTTTTAGCTTGCAAGGACTTGTTATTAGACTCAGTATAAGTTACCAAAGTTTAGGTTAGCCAAATTGTTATAGCATCTAGTATAGAACTTAGTAATAAATAGACTACTTAAATAGACAATCAAAACTTGTACATATAATTAGTTATACTTTTCAAATATATATATAGTATATTATCATACTATAAAGTTCAACTATAATTAAATAAAAGGAACATAATCAGGAGGTTACTTAATAGCAAAAAAATTTTTTTATTATAATTATAAAAAATATTATTAATAGAATATATGTAGAATTATTAAATAGATAAACTTATTTAAATTTTTCTATATTAATTAAATAATCATGTTTACAAAACTCAAATTGAAAGACTCTGGTAGATATAAAAATCTAAAATTAACTAGATTTTCAATTTATTTAATAATATAATTTTGTAACTTCCTTAGTGAAATATTATCTTGTTATATTATTAATACTAATACAATAAAGTAGAATTTATATAATAAGAAAAATTAATAAAAATAATTTTTTAAAAATGCTGAAAGTAGAATTTTTCTTATCTATAATATCTAAATATCATTTTAACAACTTGAATATTTGGTAATTACTGTACATTTTTTTGATAAAGAATAAAACCTTTGTTCTTTTATTATTATTTTAACTAATTTTCTACTCTTATACTAGAGTTAACATTGCTAATTGTATTAAAGCTACAATAGATAAATATTTAATTACTACAAAGATATACAATTGGATATCAATTTTAAAATTATTTGATATATACTAATAATTTGTAAATTCACAGCTACAAACCATCACCCTTGGCAATACAAGTTCAAATGTTATTACAATATGTGAGCTAACCAATTTTATATTACAAAAACTAATTAATATCAAAAAAGAGCCTTTTCATAACTATTGTTGTAAAAGATGAATTAAAAGAGATTTCAGAGACAATAATAAAATTATATTTATTACTTCTAAATAATAATCTAATAGTAATTATTATAAATTCGTGGCTGTATTAAGGCGCTACATACAACACCAAGGCAACATCTAATGTTTTTGGATATTTATGAGTATGAGTCTGTCAAAGCTAAAATCCTAAATATTTCAGGAATTAAGAAAACAGCTGTACGTATGGGCGGATTTTGTCGATTCTGGTGATTATTAAAATTTTGACCTAATCATTTATGTGATGTTGAGAAATTGCCGGTATTAAATATTCAAAATATAAAAAAATTGAATTGTATGGATTGTATAATTGGTTGATTGTCTTCTTAGTTATAAATTGCTTATAAAACCGTTTATGAAAACATGATAAAATTAAATATTTTGTTTGTATTTGATTGGATACTTGCTTATTAATAATTTGATATAGTGATCCTGCGCAACATTCTATTGTATCAAACATTTTCGCCCATGCGAATTTATCGGAATTTCTGAATATTTTTTGTACTCTGATTCTGATACGTTTTAATATGTCTTTGGCACCAAACACCTCTTTTTATTTTTATAGTCGAACCTCCCTATAGTCTACCTTCCATATAAACACATCATACATTTACAAAAAAAATCTCTATGGTCCCAATAATGTGATTATAGAAAGATTAAAGTGTATATTTATTTATTTATTTATTTATTTATATTTATTTATATTTATTTATTTATTACTTGTATCATGTTGATAATGATTTGCACGGTATACGTATATGTATTTTGTTAGTAAATAACAATCCATATACATTTTATCATAATAAACTTCAATAAGCATCATATGTTTTATTTCATAAATGGTTTTACATTACGGCGAATTTATGAAATCAGAGCATTTTGGCGCACTACGAAGTGCGTCATTTACTATTTGTTGTTTGACGAAGTGCGTCAAAATGCTCTGATTTCATAAATTCGCCGTAATGATAATAAAAAAAGCAATTTATACTTTTATTGTATGTACACTTCAAAGTAACAGAAATACGAATATGACAAAAAATAACGCATATAACATAACAGGCAGATTTAGGCAGATTTTCTTGTTGCTAACGTAAAACATTTAACCTTCAATTTACAATTATTTACAATCTTTCACCTTGTAATAATACCAATACTACATATTTGACGAGAAAAACTTCCATGAATTCCAATAGCTGATGCGTATTCATTCAAAACGCGATATGAATCCCCTTTCTCACCACCACGCCAATCAGAAATCCGACCTTGATCGGTATGAAATTGGATTGCATACAACACAGATCCAACTCGTTTAAAGATATGCTTAATTTTTTCACCTTTATGCCAATCAAAGTCATAAGAATCACCATCGCCTGGTGTACCATATATGGCAGAAGTATCATCAGAATAAAAGAATGCAAGGGCATTCACTATGTCTGATGACCAAATTCTTATTTTTTTAAGATACGCCTTATTTGGTTTTTCAATCATTGCACGAAATTCAGTACAATCACGATTTCGAGAATTAATTATATCATCAAAATAATAAGAATCAATTGGCTTATATCCCAATTGTTTCTCTGCAGAAGAAAATTTCTCATGTTGTTTTTCAAGATCATCGATTGTTTTTTTCAAATATTTTATATCCTCAGCAGTTGCAATTTTTGTAAAACTCCGAACATATCGAACTTCTTTATCAACATCTTGAATCTTACGACGGTATTCTTTTAAAAACTCTTCAAAGTTCATAAGACTCGGGGCTATCTCTCGTAGCAATTTTATAATATATTGCACCTGTTTAAGCTCTGATTCTGCTCTCTTACGTAAATAATAATCGATAACTTCTCCTGACCAGTGGTTTTTTAAGGCTTGTTCTGCCTCACGTTCGCCATCAATAAGATATGCATGTGCGTTGCTTGCACCATGTTGGACTTTAGAAATTGAGTTAATAACTTGTTTAAGTTGCTCTTGAAGACCAGGTATCTGTTTTTCTATCGCTTTGAGACGCTCACGAATAAAACTTGCAAGAATATTTGAAGTTGATTGGCTATTTGATCCAATAAATTTGTTGACCCAGTTTTCTTCGGATTGTTTAACCTTTTCAACTTCTTCAGTAATTGATTTTATTTCATTTGCAAGTGACCACAAGAAATTCTCTGCTTGATGACGAAATTCTCCTAGTTCATCACCTGCCACCTGTATTTCTTTATCTAACCCAATAAGTACATCGGAAATTAACTTTCCATTTTTAACAATAATGTCACTTTTTTTCATTATCACACCGAGATCACGAACAATGATACGATATTTATTCATTTCACTTGTCTCTGAATAAAATTTAAAAGAATTAATTAGTTCATTAAGTTAAATTAATCTGTGAAAATATTACGCAAATATTGTACCTGGAATTTCAAGTGACGATAATTTTTTCGAACCAGAACTAAATATGTTTACAATGTTTTCGAAGTTGCGACCTTCATTTGGTTGAGGACTATTTTGTCTAAATCGGATCTAATATTAAATAAATTTCAATTTAAGTAATTTGATATTAAATTATTTATCTAGATAGTTTCTTAAGCCATGAATTAAAATAAACATTTTACTATGACAAGATAAATCAAAATGGCCAATAATAAAATCACTGCCATTAGGTATTTGTTCAATATGTTTAGTGGTTTTTTTTCATTATTATTTGTTGAAGTTGTTTTGGATGGGGTGTTGTTAACAAAGGATTGATAACGCTGCCGTATTGTTGAAAATGCTAAGATATTTCGATTCGGAAATAGTAATAAATTAGAAGGACTAAAAAAATTATATAAAGTGAAGAAATAATAATACCTTCTCTCGAAGAAGAACTTCCGGAATTCTTATCTATTTGCATGATTAACGTTAAACGTTCAAAAAAATTGAAGGAATATATGTAAAGTATGATTATATACAATTGTAAGTGGGAATGGGATTTTGAATTTCTTAGGATTTCTAGGGTTAGGGTGTAGGTTTATATAAAAATAGATTCTACCCTAAAATTGCAAATCAACTTAAGTTCCCACTCACAACATACTTAAACTTCGTTCCCACTCACAACATACTTAAATTTCGTTCCCACTCACAACATACTAACATACAAATAAAGAAGGCCATCGTGGAAATGCCATTCCTGTTATGGAAACAATCACGCCATGAAGGGCTTTCTGTTATGGAAACAATCATGTTAATATAAATACGTAATTCATGAATGTATATCAATTCCGATCATCTTCAGTATCATTAGCATGAATTCGTTTTGCAGAGAAAAGTTTTTATTGAGAACTTCATTTCGGGAATCAAACATTACCGTTCCCAACACACAATTATTACAACCAATACAACCTAAGAAGCAACCAATCTACAGTAAAGATGCTACCAGAATTCCGCCATTAGTGCTAGTCATTTTGATGGTTGTCATTGCTGTTATTTTCAAATTTGCAATTTATTACGAAGTATTTTGAATATATTTAATATATTTTGGGCATGCATTTTCTATAATTTTGCCTTTAATTAATTTGTAATCTTGAAAATTAGCCAATATTTGAATTGTTTTTTCCAGTAAGATTTATTTTGTTACTGCTAAACTCTAAACTTAACATGGAACATGCAACCTAACATGCAACTTATTATTCATTATTACATAGCCTTTTGATTGGCCTATATTCAGAGATCTTACAAACACCACCAGTTTAATTTCTGTACAACTCGCTGAACTTAATATCCCAGGTACATCATATTTTTAATTGATGAATAAATACTTATTAGAAAGTATTATAATTATTCCATCAAATTAGCGTCTTCCGTGATCATAAATTATCGAACCACAAGCCACTTTCTTGCTGAAGTTATAGATCGAAACGAATTGTCTCCCAAAAATTCTGATGATGTTGCTCAATACCTTAATCAACTTGGAGATAAAATGTGCCACTCAGGCGAATCTATCGAAAAAATGTATTCTGTTGGTGATATGGTTCTTAAGGAAGTTATCATGGAACTAAAATCTATCATCAATAATATTGGACCAGACCAAATTCTCTCACAACAGAATACAGCATACTTTGCAGTTCGTTATGAAAAGATTTTAAATTCTTTCACTAAGTTACGGGATAAGTTTCAAATAATTATTGATGAGCTGGATGATCTTTATATTTTATATAATGGGACGCATCATCAACTTGCTAATGGAATAAATGATGTAGAACTTTTTTTTGAAAAGATAACGCCAGAGTTGGGAGAGTATCATGATATGGAACAATTGAAACGAGATCTCGGTTATTTAAAACAGATAATGGAGAAGGTTCCTGATATTCGGCGTCGAATACATCGTCTTTTATCTGAGTTTAATGGTCATCGACAGTTATTGATTAAGCATCGTGATGAATGGGATAAATTATGGAGACGAAAATTAGTTTCTTTTGAAGACATTGAAAGTTTGGAAGAAGTGATTTCAAAGTTAGATCGAATAGCTGAAAGATTTGTAAAAAAAGACAAAGAAAATATTGAAAGAAGGATATACGTATAATTTTTAGTTAGGAATTTATATGCTATGCTATTACACAACAAACGTATAGGAAAAATAATATTGGGCAATATTATAATTATTAAACTTGATTTGATTTAATAAAAAATCAGTCATTTCTTACGTATGCTAATAACGATCAAGCCACAGGCTTGAATAACGTCGCAGTTATTTTAGCCCTTATATGTAATATTTTTTCGAAATTAGGCCCTCATATGTAATTATTTTTAACTTGGACCCGTATTTGTAATTATCCGAGCCTTTATTTGTAAATTCCCCTTAATATTTAAGATTATTTTTCTTAACGATTGAAATGAAAAGTCAGTAAAATACAAGCATCGATAAATGTAGTTATTAAGTGCATTAAAAAATGTCGTAATTGAGTAATTATAAATGAGAAAAGATTTTTTTTTTTTTTAGATTTAATAAGTTTCATTTTCTTTGTATAAACTTGCTTATTATAACAAACTATAGATGCAGACTTATTTACGTCATTAGTTACGGCTCAATTGCGTTACCGATTTTTTATATAGGACGTAGCTGGTCATAAGTCTGCATCTATATGACAAACCACTATGACGTCAAGTAAAGCACCGCGAATTGATATGACATTTATAATATGGAAGATGTTCGTCCAGCTCTAAAGAGCTACCTTGTTGAAACTTCGCTTTACAATATTTAAGCGAAAATGAATAAACCAGCGCTTCATTTATTCTTTTATCTAATAATCAGTATTTAGATGCCTATAATAAAACAATCGATAATCCTATAATTGTGATTTTGAAATTGATAGATTTGGCCCTTATATGTACAGTCAAACCTCTTTATAATCACACTCCATATAGTCACACCTTTATTTAAGCACCCTATTTTGTGTGACAGACTTAAAACATAATGCAAAAATCTCATTATAGTCACAAATCATTTATAATCACTATCATCTTAAAATTTGATTTTTAAATCAAATTTATTAATAAAAAAATCTCTTAATAATCACTAATTTATTAATTAAAAGTTTTTTCTACTAAGTTAACCACCTTTGAGTTTCTAAGTAAAGTTGTAGAGCATATAGATGTGACAACTTAGTGTAGTTGGTAAGTTGTCACACCTCCAAGTGGCAGACAAGAGTTCGAATCCCACTGGCAATGAAAATTTAAATTTATGGAATGTGTTACAGCAGACTGTGTGTAAATGGACATATTAGCAACTGTAATTTTGGTTACACCAGCTTGTACTGTGAGGCTGTAAAATAATAGTGTGATGCATGAGTTACATAAAACCCAAGTAAAATGGCCATGTAAATTCAAGAGTTGATACATATGGAAGCCTGCTTGGCAAGACCCGAGTAGAGAGATAGTAAGTTCTTTGATAATACTATGAAAAGGATTATTATTTGGAGAACTAGAGAAACTAAATAGAACTGAAGTGTTTGGCAGCATTTTATTAACCAAGCCACTGGCAAACCAGAGGAAAAGGACCCAACTATGAGACCAGAAACAGGTCACAGCCCTTCTGAGCTATTTGGATTAGAAGTTTGGAAAAACTGGAGTATGATAAATAGTTCATATAGTAGATGCTGGGGTTTGTGTAAACTCTACAAGAGCAGAAGTAGGTAATAGTTGCAGCTTTGGCTCACAAGTTTTGTTCTCAGAATCAATATAAGTTACCGAAAGTCTTGGTTAGTCAGATTGTGGATATAAAAAGCTGCCTTGAGGATAAATTAGTCCTAAGAGTATATGCCAAGTATTTGTGACTTCTTGACTGACAAATGTAGCAGAGATGTATCGATGATACAGATATAGTTGTATTACAGAGTATTTAATTAGATAACTTAAATAATAGTGGCTATAGATACAGCATCTAATGTAGAACCTAGTAATAGGCAGACTACTTAAATTAGATGCTCAAAAAGGTGCAGATATGGTTATAATGTACTCTCTAATATACAGGATTCTCTTAAGGTTATAGCTGCAAGCTTACTACTTAACAATACTTAAATAAAACCCTAGTTCCAAAGAGGTTAAGTTAAAAAAAAAGTGAAGTTGTAGAGCTCATTAAAATGAATCTAATAGTAGTTAAATCATCAAAATCGTCTCAGTGAATGCTGAAATATCATTAAAAAATATGAAAAACATTTTGCTGACTATATAAAATTTTTTGTATAATCAACAAAATGTTTTTCAAAGATATCCTAGCACTACTTGATTTAACCACTATTAGATTCATCTTAATAAGCTTTACAACTTTACTTAAAGACTTAAAGGTGGCTAACTTAGTTCAAAAAAAACTTTTAAATATAGGACAATCATAACTAATAAATTACCAATTAATCATTGATTGGCTAAAGATCATATGATATTAATCTGATATTTGTTTATAGTCACACCTCTATACAATCACCATATTTGAATATATAAACTTGTAATTATATAGAGGTCTAACTGTAATATTTTTTAAAAATTAGACCTTTATATTGTAATATTAATGAATTTTTATTAACATTTTTCTTATAATTTTTCTTAAATTTTATTATATATTTTATATATTTATT